CGCAGATGTCCCAGGTTCGATTCCCGGGCTAGGAGAAATATTTGTAGGGTCTACATTTATTTCTCTCGTGAGTTTGGGTGTAATTTGTGGTTGTCTATGTGTGTGTCCATGGCACCCGCGACACAGGGTTTCCCTAGTGCGGGGCTATGTTGAGTGTGTACGTTATTATAGATGACAGTACTTATAATCTGAATTTCACAATAAACTGGGCAATAGTTATATCAGAATACCAAGATTGCTGCGTGTCTCAGGCATACGCGGGAATTCGGTAGTCGTTACTAATCACGCTACACGTCACAAGTGAAGCATTTTAGAAGCACCGCAATTCGTTCGTATTATTTGCTCATCACGCCCCTGCGGCTGGAGAGAACAGGTGGATATTTTGTTGCCGATTTTAGGATTGTTGTGTGTAAATCCGTAATCCGGTGGAGTTGGACCAGGATTTTTGAATTCGGCGTATACGATATTTCAAAAACTACATTTTATGGTTGTATGTAATATTTATTATAATATGTTTTGTAAGAACTAAAATATAATAACAATTTATTGGTTTTACAAGTACTGTCGTTAACGGATAATACCAAAAATATATACATTTTCTGAATCCTGGGGCCTTGGTTTCGGTGGATTTTATGCCACCGAATTCAGAAAGCTTCCACCGAAGTCAGAAAAAACTGCCATCGAAGCCATATTTTCTTTGAAAAACAAGAATTTTATATATTCTTTTATATAAAAGTTTAGTTAATATCATTTAATATTTTTCACAATTTTATATTGATACTTGCTTTCCGCTGAAAATGAATAAGAAAAATCAAAACAGGAAAGAAAAATTGGAAAGCAAGAATATGAAGGAATGTGCTAGAAAAGCAAAGATAAAAAGCGATCCAATTATATAAGAAATGTTTAAAGGAAAAGATAATGAAATGAATTATAGACAGAGGTATGCGAAGATAAAGCGGAAGGGATAATTTTGAAGCTACATGAATTACCTCGTCATGTATAAAAAGTAATGAAACATATTAATCGCGCAAGTTCCAAAATATTGATTGCTTTTGTAGCTACAGATTGCATTCTAATTTTTTTTAAAGAGATACGGAAGTACTTTGTATGTTTGAAAAAAAGATGAACAGTCAAACTGAAAACTGATTTTATTTAATAGTCATAAGGTGAAATTTGTTTGCGTTGTTCTGGTCGATTTATAAATAAATTTTAGTTTATAAAGCTTGATTTAATAGTTAATCATATTAGTAAATATTTATTAGATTATTTAATATCGAGTTCTTAGGTTTTCGCGATTATTACACATAGGAAATGAAATTATTTTTCCGGATTTAAATCGCATTAAATCAGGAAAATTTTTAAAATTTTAAATCGCGAGCATGTCATGGATAAACCTACACTTTCAATGAAGTTTGACAAACCCCAGGTCCTTGCAAAAGAAATCCGTTATCTACCCAGGATGCTGCGAGAGGCCATTGAAATTAAAAAACATACTAATTTCAACAGGGAAGATGGTTTCTCTGTACCACCAGTTTGGGATCCAGTATTTCCTCTAATGAAAAATCCCAAACAGACATAAGACTGCAGTACTAATTAATATGTTTTAGTTTATTCTACTTTCTATTATTAATTAATAATAAATTGAACTTAATAAAAATTCATTCAATAAAATAATTTGTAAAACGTAATATAGCGTAAATTGGAATGTTTTCTTTGTAAAATTAAAAATAAGGTATTTAATTAATAACTATTGTAACTGTAGGAAAAAATAGGGTAGTTTGCATCAATATTAGACATAACTGGTTGAAGACTGTACCACCTCAGTCAACCGTGACCATGGGACCTGTAAAGGGCCCGAAACGTCGGTTTGTTTAAACAAACAAATATACGCGATTTAAATCCGGAAAAATAGTTTCATTTCCTAGATTATTGAATGTTTTTATGTTTTTATTTTGAACAAAAATTGTGCCTTTTGTTATATTATCCTGATTTCGGTGGTAGCTGAATTCGGTGGATCAAATATGTTAACTGTTTAGAATCTAGGCCCAATTAACGAAATCTTATGTAAGTTTCAGTTCTTTTTCCTTCCCGCTCAATGTTTTCCATCCATTTCCATCGCATCCATCGGCTTCCCGCGACCTTTACCAGATCGTCGGTCCACCTGGTGGGGGGGGTGTACCCACTGAGCGTCGTCTGGTGCGCGGTCGCCTTTCCGCCCCAACGGCCATCGGTTCTCCTAGCTATGTGTCCCGCCCACTGCCACTTCAGCTGAGCAATTCTTCGAGCTATGTCGGTTACCCTAGTTTTCCTACGCATTTCCTCATTTCTGATTCCATCACGTAGGGAAATACCGAGCATCGCTCTCTCCATTGCCCGCTGTCACTCAGGGCCTTGAGCCTTCGTATGAGGTCCATATGTGCTCACTGGCATCACACACTGGTCAAAGACTTTCGTCTTGAGACATTGAGGTAATTTGGACGCGAAATTTAAAAAAATAATTAGGATGTAATAAATACAGTGGACATTTTTTCATAATTTCATGTAAAAACAAACATTCAAACATTAAAATCGCATTATCTCGTGCGTGCGTGCGTAAGCGCATTATATTATATATTAAAATGGCATGTAATAGGACGATATACCTAAGGATATTATTTAAAGAATGTGCTAATTTGTTACACAGTAGGATGTAGGTACTTTAAATGATCATACAAAATACTAAAATACGAAATCTGAAATTTACATATAATATAAAATATCTAACTTTGCACTCAATTTTTATATGGAGACATTTCTCTCTAAATACTATAGAGAACCTACTAAATTTTAGGTTCCAATTGCAGTATATTCGTATTCATCCCAAAATTTTTGTTTACTTAAGCAGTCAAAACCATAACAATAAGTCAAACCATATTATAATCCAAATCTATTCAGAGATAAACGCAGAAAAGATAAAGTGTGTGAAACTGCGAGGTATAGAATTGCATTACGAGACCATTCTACTTCTGTGGTTGTCCACTTTGTAATAAAATTAATAAACAAGAAGAATTTTGTTTACTACAAGTTTACGTACATAAATTGAAACATCTCATTATACCCACTACTTATCCGGAGTTTAGGCATTAACTGCGTCACGGGCTTAATGATTAAGTACTATTGTAGTTACCATCACATAATCTTATCATGCATAATATCGTGTTATTGTTATTTTGATTTATCTCTTTTCATTTGAAAATTGCCCACGTTATTGACTTTTTAGATAGCTGTTTTGTGTCCGGGTTTATTTTAAAACATTACGTGACTAAGACGCGTGATTAAATATAAATAAAATCGATTAGATAAATGTTTACACGTATTTTACAAGTTTTTCAAAAACATTTGAAGTTGAATGTGTACGAATTCCACATTATAAAGGCAATGGGCAGATCCGATACCTAAAATAGAAAATTTGGCATGTGGTCTACGAAACGAGAAAGTTTGAGAACTTCTGTTTCAGAGTGTAATCTGCTCATTTTTTTGTAATTCCATTGAGACTCCACTGAGATTATATTGCAATTATGATATTATTTGTAATTCCGCTAAAATCTAGTTGCGATGGCAGGTGAGTCTCAATAGAAAAAAAAGGTGAGTCTCAATAGATTCGATTTTCTATGGAATAGCAGTGATGGCATTCATTCATCAAGCAGCTAGTGAGTGCAGTCGATAAATTTTGGTCACGTTTATTCCATAAATATCCGAACTTGTTGGCTTTGAACCGTCGAGTATAGAACCAGAAATAAAGACGAAATAAAGATAATATCTCTAACAATAGGGAACTGTTCCATTCGGTGGTGTGGGAAAAACAGGAATACATCTAATTACAAAACAAACAGAATCACATTTCATCGCTAATTAAATATTAAATATGTAATTTTTCAATTTTGTCCATTATAGCAAAGCTCAAGTTAAACTCGTGAATTTGATGTGAAACAATTGACGACACCCGTCAATTGCGCTTATCAAAAGCCCGCTATTTTTCAAGTATTAACATTGTATGAAACCGGCAACCCTGCAAATGACGTTTTACTCCGTCTTCTAAAAGGACAGACAGACAGTCAGATAATAAAACCAATTAACCTATTACAATCTGGTTGATTCGTTTTGGGGTTTTATCATTTTATTCAGAGAGAAAAGTCTTGATGTCCAAGCCCGCCAAAAATATTCCCTGTTTGGTCAATAGATTTCCAAACTTTGAAGGATGGCTGTGAAAACGAAAAAGAGTAGCAGGTGGAGATCCGTAGTTTACCCGGTGGGAGACAGGCGTGATGATTCGTATGTATGAAAACAATTTAAATGGACAATCGGGTCATTTGACAAATAAGGTGCGAATTTAAAATAACTTCAATTTAAATAGTAACAGCAACCAATTCTTCGAACGTACTTTCACTAACTATCTATGGCTTCCAAAGGTAGGATCATTATTACTAATTATCAAGGCGAGTCGTTTGAATGCGAGCGAGAATAGATTGTAGGAGGTGAGTTGTGTGGCTGCGCGTCCCGAAATCGGCACGAAGAAAATTAATTATCAATTTAACGGGCAGCCCTGGGCAATTTTTAAGATTAGAGACTAAAGTGATCTATGGGGCTATCCGTGAAAACCAAAATTTTGCAGGTTCTCTGTAGTACTTAAAGAAAAATATATCCATATAAAAATTATGTGAAAGTTAGTTAATTTTATTCTTAAATAATTAGGTTTAGACTTCTATATTAGTCAGTTTTCGGGATTGTGTATGATCGGGTAAAGCACATCCTATCGTGTAATAAATTAGCACATTCTTTAGATAATATCCTTAGGTGTAGCGTATATTTAAAGTAAGACCCTTGTTTATTAAAAAATATCTAAAACATTTGATCTAGCAAAACAGAAATGCAATACGTTACGTACGTATTTTATCTTTACTTATTATATTTATCTTTAATCTTATCGTTATAAAATGTATTCATTGACTTTTAAAATACATTGTCCTTGGCCGTAGCAGACAATGGGAGGACGTGGTACGAAGAAAATAATTTAATATGACAAAAATGTTTGCAGGACGTGAGCTGTGGTTTTTGTTCGTTCTTTCGTTTTATTTTACTAAAGGTAAGAATAATGTATTTATTTTCTTTTTAGGACTGGGCTTCATCGCGATTTATGCGAAACCATGTTGTGTAGAGAGGTATCTTTTTAAGCGCACTACGAGTGGCTAATTTAGATGTGATCCGAGATGGGCAGTCTGTTAATACCCAATAGGCGCCTTGACGTCGAGTTGCGGACACCAGCCTGTTACACCAAGTACCAAGTAATACCCAATCAATCCGCCCGGGTTATAGTCAGGTTTTTATTTACCCTCTTCTTGCCAAAATCGTGGGCAGGAACGGCGAATACGGGATTTGGTATAATTGCATACTTATTACAAAATTCGATGTAAAAATTCTTTTTTTAGACGAAAAAGAGGCAACTCCACACAATAATATTGCAATCCTATGGATTCTGACTACTAAGAATGCACATATACGTACATTAGATTTTATGCAATTTTCAAAGAAATCGATTCAATAGAAAGACAAATCGAATCTTCTAGATCAGATGGCAATAAACGTTTTATAATAATATAATTAAATTTGGACAAAACTCGATTTACAGCAAATATTTAGTTGTAAATAGTAATTGCCTCGATTTCGGATGTTGAAGAGTTTTAACCCTATTTATATAAACTATACATATAAACAAAGTGCCGGGTGCTTGCTCATCTCTGGATGTGATATGAATGAAACATAAATAATTTAATTAGTAAATTAGTTCAAAACTAAAATGTAGCAGGTTCTACGTAGTCCTTTTTTTACGCTACACGCATGTCCATGACAGTTGCAGTGCCACTCAGAGCTTTAAATCACAAAGATGTGAGGGGCACTGCCACTGCGCCCGTCCCCCTGAGACATGAGTTTACAGATCCCACGTACTTGTGATTTCACCAGCACCTTACCAACCTAAACTGGAACACATTAATGCTGACATCACTGCTTGTCGGCATAAATAGATAAGGTGTACTTCCCTGGACGAACTCTTTCACAAGGAGAGGTACTAGTACTAAAATGTCTGTAGTACTTATAGAGTTTTATCTCCATATAAGAATATGTGCATTTTATTCTTAAATAATCCGTTTTAGACTTTTGGTTTAGCTTTTAGTTTCGAGATTGTATAAGATCGGGTACAGTACATCCTATCGTGTAACCAATTAGCACGTTCCTTAGATAATATCCTTAGGTGTATCGTATATTTATTTTAAGACATTATTTAATAGTAAATACCAAAACCGTTTGATCTATCCCAACAGTTTTTCCCGCTTCTCTTCCGGTTACTTAATGCAATACAACATATACGCTACATTTTATTTCTTAGTACCCGCCATAGCCGCGTAAAAATAAAGTTCCTGACGATTTAATTTTCAGGCGACCAAGAAAACCTGCTACCGTTTAAAGTGGTCGACGCCGACAAAAAAACATGTGAAACCGATGGAACATCAAAAGATTTTCCAGTCACAGACTACAGCAACTTAACGGTGAAAGTACAAAACACAAACGATCGTTTATGTAAACTTAGGTAAGTTTTATTTTTAAGGTGCTATCTGACAGTGTATTCGACTATGATATAAATCTTCATCTTAGAGGACACTGGTGTCAGTCAAAGGGACTGAAATGAGTTGGCAAGAGTAAGGTATCGCAACTACGGAACAATAAATGCAGTAGTAGTGTTTAGTGCGCGTGACATGTGTGCCAACAGTACGCAAAGTTCCGCATACTTGAGCTCGATCTGTCATTTTCGCTTTGTACGTTGTGGTCGTGTCAATTACCTAGAGCAGCCAGTAGTTCTTACAATATTCGAGCCTGGAGGCCCTGCCATTGTGGTTTTTCTTCCGTGACCGCAGCGGTAAACCACAAGCGACACAGTAATGTGTTGCCACAACAGCACCTGACAAAAAAAAAGAAAATCGCTTATTGCATAAAAATACCACTTGGCTAGAAGTTTATTGCCGGAGACACACCTTTATTAATAATAGTAATGGAAATGAATGACTACTTTACTTTCATACTTCACACACATATACAAATACTGTAATGTATACAGGGTGTCCCATGGCTATGCCACACGGAGGGAAAGTGCCTTAAATAGCGTATATAGAAAATTTTACCGAAAGAAGTCTTCATTTTGATTTTAAAAACAATTCGAACTGTATTCAAAGTTATTTAAATAATCGCCTGTCTGAACCAAGAATCGAAACCGCCAAATGTGAAAAAAAAACACATGTAATTTTACTATACTAATCAAAAGCCTAAATCATAAGCATTGTTGTCTTCTGAAAAACAAATTTTGTTCAGGAAAGTACCCTTTTCTCTGACTTTGCCGTGCTCATAACAACTGACATTATCATTTCTAAGTATTACTAATGAGTACAAACTTGAGAAAGGGATACAATTTAATTTAAATTTGAATTATTATATCGAGTTCTTAGGTTTTCGCGATTGTTACACATAGGAAATGAAACTATTTTTCCGGATGTAAATCGAAACGTCGGTTTCTTTGAAAAAACAAATATACGCGATTTAAATCCGGAAAAATAGTTTTATTTCCTATTTGAATTATTATTTAAATGTTAAATTTCAAGGTCTCTCTTTTATTTAAGATGCTATGTTACTAATACTATGAACGGTATTTAGTATTTTCTCTCCGTGTGGCGTAGCCGTGGGAACCCTGTATATTGCAAGGACTAAGTAAGTATTTGTTTCGAGAGTACACTACACACACTCACTTTCATATTACACGATATACACATAAAGACATAAGTATTTACATAGAAAATTTTATTTTTCTTCGTGACGCACACGTCCGTCACTCACTCGCTTACTCGCATTGAAAACCGGCGTCACAGCCCATTCTCGTACGTGGCTTTAGCTGAATGAGATCCTTTTCTATACGCCACAGCCGCAAACAATGTCAGTATAGAATTAAGTTAGGTATATTGTAAAAGCTGTTGTTTAAATGTTACACTTTTGACCAGTTTGCCCTTTTATACGAGTTTGGAGCATTCTGTCTTGAAGGTACGCTCAGAACGAATAGCTAAGTGGGCCACGAATACCCCATTCGCCCATAGCTCAAAGCAACTGGCAGTGTTCGAATGTGTCAAAGGCTTTTTTAAATCTATGAAAACAACATCGAGTATATAACCAGAAATGATACTATTCTGCCAAATCATTACCGTGATAACTGCGCTCCGATTGGCCAGCCCGAACACGAAACAATTGACGGGTGTCGTACACTTCAAAATAGCCCAGTTTAGATTAAGCTTTGCTATAATGGACGAAAATTGAAAAATTACACATGTAATATTTAATTACCGACGAAATGTGATTCCGTTTGTTTTGTAATTAGATGTTTTGCTGTTTCCCACACCACCGAATGGAACAGCCCCCCATAGTTAGAGAAATAGATTTAGTAGCAGTAGAGCTCCATGTGAAAGAGTTCGTCCAGGGAAGTACTGCCACCTTACCTATTTCTGCCGCCAAGCAGTAATGGCAGCATTACTGTGTTCCGGTTTTGAAGGGTAAGGATGCTGGTGAAATTACTGGCACATGGGACTTGTCAACTTATGTCCCAGTAACTTTTGTCACCCATCTTTGCCATCTCTGCTGAGGCCGGATGGCACGCTGGCTCATACTGCAGAAGAGAAGGCGAATCTCTTTGCCTCACTCTTTGCAGAGAGTTCGCGTCTGGATGCCGCAGGGAACGTACCACCTACCTTACCTCAGTCTGGCTGTGCTATGGCGCCAGTTCGCATACGCCAAAAAGAGTAGTACTTACAGTACTTAGAACTCTGCGGAATCTTAACGTGAATAAAGCTAGCGGGTCAGATGGAATTCCAGCGGTGGTCCTACGTAGCTGTGCACCTGAGTTGTCTCCTGTTCTTACACGCCTGTATCGCCTCTCACTTAAGACTGGTGTAGCTCCTAGGTCGTGGAAACTTGCAAACGTGCAACCTGTGCCCAAAAAGGGAAGCAGAGCTGACCCTGTCAACTATAGACCTATCTCAGTCAGTAATTGACAAGCGTGCCAAAAGCCTTATAGGTGACTCGGAAGTAGTAGAGGCGAAGCTGTAGAGCCTTGAACACCGCCGTAAAGTTGCCTGCTTATCGGTATTTTACACGATATATCACGGAGAGTGTACGATGGTATTACGCGTTTGACGCCATTGTGCGCAAGAGGTGCGCGTCCCTGGTGCACCGGGTGCGGGCCAGCCCCAACTCCGCTCTCAATGCGATAGGGGACAGGGTTGACTGCCCCTACATTAGACACTGTTGTGAGCTTCATGCACCAAAATGTATAATTAAGTTTTAAATGTTTCAATATTAACCCTAGGATAAGTTCTGTATTTACTAACATTATGAGTCTGGTTACTCGAATAAAAATATTTTAATTGAATTGAATTACACGATTTAATTCCGCCTTCCTCTTTCCATCATCGGGGGACTAGGCGTAGGCTTGGTTTCCATCCCTATGTTGTGGGTATTCCAAATATTCGCACGAAGCGTTACGCTTCCACATTTATATGGCGAACGGCTATGGAGTGGAATTCCCTGCCTGCAGACTTGTTCCCTGAACATTATAACTTGGGCCTTTTCAAGGCGAGAGTGAATAGGCATTATTTAGGAAGCTGCATCGTCGACCTCATCGTCACTTTCCATCAGATGAGATGGAGGTCAAATGCACACTTACAATAGAATTTTAAAAAATGCAGAAATGAAGCAAAAAGGGTCAATGCCGTCTAGCGGATTTTTAGAGAACTATCTGACAAACTAAGTTGATTAATAAATAGGTTTATTACAAGACTTAAATTTTTAATCGATTTCAATATACATATTTCAATTATTGTTCTTGCAATAAAATGGTCGTATTATATAACTGTATTTGTAATAGAAGATCTTATCGATTGCCTTATAAAATGAAAACGTACGTCAATAAATGAAGTTGCGACTGCCTTAATTAAATTTATTACATGGTTTTCTGTTGGTGATTCATCAAATTGATGAATGGATGAATGGCAAGACAACTGAAAATGTTACCAGGTACTGAGAAAATATCGTAAAACCTGGATTCATTAAAATGTTTCGAGCAAATAACATTTTTCTATTTTTCTTTTAATGTTTAAAATTATTATTAACTTGTATATTTTTAAAATATTTTCTAAAGTCAAAATAATTATCATTTCTTTGTTTGTAAAAACGGCCAGAATCGAGAACAGTGTTGCCTCAGGTTACAAAACAATAGGGAGAAGGAGCATACGCAACAAACGAAGTGAAGCCATTTTTCATTTGTTGTTTGAGTGACAACTAGGAAGGGCACTGTAGCAGCACTGTATGCGCATTTCTGTGCGTGTAAGATTGCCAGATGCTGTGGAAAAAACTCCCGCATTTTTTTCTGTTGCTTTCTATAATATTGTTACAAACCGGACATATTATTTTTCAATTTAGGTACACAGAAAACAAGGATTTCTACTAATAAGAAAGAGCAATTTCTCAAAATATTTGCTAATTCTGAAAGAATATTTATTAAAAGTAATAAAATATTGTCATTACAAAAATACTGCTTATCTTTTTCTAATACAATTTTACTCTTAACTTTATTCTAACTTTTAGACAAATACTTTCACTTCAAGATTTTATTTCATTTCTAATCAATTAATTGGACATTACTTATATCAAGAAATTTTTACCTCTTACATCAAATTTAAATAATCTTAAATGAATTCAAAATTTCTTGGGTGTATTTCAAGAAAATATATTCTTAAACAAAAAAAGAAGTAGTTTGCTATTCAGAGTAATATTCTAAATTCTAGAGAATATTTTTAAAGCAACATTTCGTTGCGTTTTCACAGTCAATGATGTCGTGACATGTCGCCGAAGGCGCACGCGGTAACGATTACTTTTACTTGTGCTTGTAATCATAAAAATCATAAACAGTCATTTATCCAAAGAAACAATACGTACCTAAGTATCTCTAGTTTGTTAGGGTGTTATTTGTAGTCATAATTTAAGAAATTTGGTTTCAGCATGAAATCAAACTACACTTGTAACAAGCACAACCTTAACATGCAATTAGTTCCATCACGCCACTGCTAGATGAAACGCGCTATCGTTTTGTTAACTTCAATAGTATATAAGTCATCTCATATATTTTGAATTGTTAGTGGTTTCTGCCGCTATAGCATTTATACGGCACTGAATGGTACTCAAGTATTTGTATGTATTTCTGCTACTTTAAGGTTTGGCACTGAACTGTGTGCTTTTTGCACGCCAATGAGACATACTGTTGGGTCCATAACCCTGTAAATTTACGCTTTGTGATATTAGAAAACATAAATCTTCAGTCAAATAATTAAGTACCAAAAAAAATTGAGTTTTTCGCTCTATTTTTTTTAAGTCAAAATCGGACATTTCTAATAACTAATAAATATTTTGTTGAATCTAGAGTGGCTTTGTGGCTTGAAGTAAATTAATTTGCTCTTGGATTAAATATTTCTGTCTTATAACTAAAATACGCTTTTGAGACGTTTTTTTACTATTAACAAGTAAGTATTCTCTAGCGTCTATAGGGAGAGGATCGTTTTGTTGGATTTAATAAATTTGTCTTCATAAAAAGAATTTTGTCTTTTTCTAAGTAATCTGTGTTTGCGTCGTGTCTTTGTATTTGGTTCCTCAACGACTTTTTAGTCGTAGCGCCATCTATGAGAAATCTATGAAAGATTTATCACCCAGTTAGTACCTTCACAGCTACCAGTCCAGGCGAGAGATGTCGCTATTCACTGTATTTAAATTTTTTATTGAATTGCTATTCAATTACTTTTTGTGAAATTACTCCACTAGTTTGTTATAATTATTAATACAAAGATCGAACACTCAGAAAAAATTCCTTCGATCCGGCCGGATTTGAACCGACGTCTTCTGGCTTACCGTACCAGACGCTATACCAACTAAGCCACGGAACGAACCAACGGACCTCACGAATTTTATTATTTTATTCACGATATTTATTAAGTTATTATTTGATTTACATCACACAAAGGAAAGAATATTTTATTAAGATATTTTAAATTGGAAAATTTTGATAGTTCAAAATATTTATTACAATCACAGTTACACAATATTTTAATAACCTTTATTTTGTACACATTTTTTGTAATACTCTCGTTTCGCGTCTATACATCGAGCATTCCTTTCTAATTTTGATATGTAGGGCAATCTCACCATCAAATACTTTTCTATTAAATTTTTTATCATATTAACTTTGCTTTCCATAACATTGACGATTATGTTCTAATTGACTGATGAAAAACAAAAATTGTTTGGCTCCCAATGCAACTCTTTAGAACCTGTGAAGTCATGTACATACATGTAGAAATAGGCTCGAAAATAATTGAGGTAAATCTGAGTTACCTAAAAAGCAAATTTGAACCGCTGTAACTGGACCATTCTGGTTCTATAGGCATGCATTATTTAATTTCTATACAACAGTATAAATTATTCGATGCTCTATACTAAACCCACGCATATTTACCTAATTTAAGGTAACACACACATATTTCGATATAAACTGGCAACACTTACGAATTTATGTCGAGTTTTAGTGTATTACAGAACAGTTAAATTAACAATAGTTCCATGTGAAAAGATATTCCAACTTATTTTTTTTGTTTTTGGGAACAACTTTTACAATGTTTAAAGACACAAGACGGCATTTTTAAACATAAAATAACTAGTCACTCGTGACGTGTAAACAGTGCGACGCTGAGCTTAGTACTGACGCGAGTTTGTATTTGCTTTTGAATTTGTAGTTACTTTGGTGGCTTCACTTTTGTGTTCGGCGCGCTCTATATGCCTATTGTTTTGTAATCTGAGTGTTGTATGCAACGTTATGACGTATACGTTAAAAAATATACAAGGGTCAGTACTACAAGACTGAACGCATTATACAAAAATATTGCACGTTTGATATTCATGGCGTATTAACAAAGGACCACAAATATATCGCACTAAGTAAAAACTGCAATGTGTTACAAAACATAAGGCAAATACTCCTTTTCACATTGTTTTCTCGAAATTCATACAAAATCAACATAATTCTTTTTAAAATAAATTATGCATATATTCTGGTTTACAAAATCAATTGCCGGTGGAAGGTAATGTCCCTGTTTACTCGTTTACACACAGTTGTGGTGTTTTTCACGTTTTTCATTGATGTTTATCTACGATAAAAAGCTTAGCAGCGGCAACTAAGCGTTTTTATAACGCAATGGGCACTCGAAGTAGGTGCACTTGATGAGTCTATTTAGATATGTATGTGGTCAATACACAAGTTTAAATTCTTCGTAATAATAAAACAAATCTAATACTTATTGTGTTCGTAATCTATTTCAGGTGTAAAAACGTAGCTAACAGCCAGCAATCCGACTTTTTTTTTGAAGCAAATTTGCCTTTATTACATAACGACACGTCTGAATGTCGTTCCGTTATTGTAAGTATTAAATTTAACTTAACACATAATATAAACATGCGTGAAACAACCGTACATACCTAGTCCTGAAGTAGGCATTTCTGTGAAATGCGATTATTGGAGTGAAATCACCCTGAACAGAGTCAGTTTAAAAAAGTTGCTCATCGTTCTACTGGTTAATTAAACTATAGAAAATTAACTCAAGATGATTGCTCGGCTGCTCCATAACAAAACCTAGTAAGAATGATGCCACCGCACCGAGTGCCACAAGAGAAAGCGGTGTCGCAACGTAAACCCCCGTTTACAGCACGTTTTCTTGCAGTGGAAATCATACCGAATAAACAGTGGCGCATACATTAGATAAATAGAACCGTCCACACGGTGTTTGTCCTGCAAAAAAACGCGCACAGCTCTATACGTTCATCGAACACGCAATGGACTTGTCAAGCAAATCGAATGAACTTTAACGTATTCGGTGTGCAGTGACGCATAGTAATAATGCATCTCTTTCACAAGGCGCGAATTCATACGTTTTTTATCGAATAGTCACCGAACAAGCGGCGTCTAGTATCGTATTCATACATATATAGTACGTACTCTGTGTCCAGTATGGAAGTATCTTTTGGAAGGAGAGCACGTGTAATTTTATTAATACAATATGACCGGCGAATCTTCTGCGAATGGCAAAAAACGGCTATCGCCGGTTACTTGCATAAAACAAAGTTTGTTGATATCTCTCGCACTCTCTCCTTATTTCTAAATCTCTTTTTGTATATTCTGTTTTCTTTCTATCCCTTGTGGCGTGCAGTTGAAAGAAAATAAATGAAAATTATAAGGATTTCCCTATTCCCATGGAATTCTTCATCACAATCGCAGAAGCACGACATATCATTATTATTAATTGTTTTATCACTTTCAGCCAATACTCAAATTGCGTGGAGAATTCAATTGTTCTATAGCATTACAAGTTAAACGTGACCGTTTTGAACTACAAGAGTGTTACTATATAATGAAGCTTATTAGTATAGGTAAGTGAATCGTGAACCTTTTGCTAATAGTAGTTTACTGACCGAATAGTACTAGAGAAATCAAAGTTGTCCGTTTAAAGAAACTCCTCCAGCATATTACTTCAAAAGATGGAAACAAATCTATTATAATAGGAGGAGATTGGAACGTAGATTTCTTAAAAAATAATAAACATAATCTAGCCCTGTCGAATTTGGTGTCATTGTTTAATTTCAAACAAAATGTAAAAGAAGCCACTCGTGTCACATGTGCTCATGTGCTACAAAGATTAGACACTTGCCTAGATTTATTATTCTCAAACTATAAAATGGACATCCAACTAACAGTATGTGAACTTAGTTTTTCCGATCACATAGGGGTTCTAATTTCGTTGCTAAGTCTATCACAAAATCTTAAAAAACCGACGTACATTCTTGACAGATCTTGTACGGGCGGAAAACAATATAAATACTAACTATAACGCTTTTGAAAATGCCTTGACAACTGTCCTTAACAAATATATACCAAAAAAAGTTATAAAAATAAAGCAAAAAAACAAAAATACTTGGATAACCAATGGTTTGTGAACTTTTTGTAAAAATAAAAGGCTGCTTAAACTGGTAGTACAACAAACAGAAGATAAAAATATACATAATTATTACAAAAGATATGATAAAATACTGAAACAAGCAGTAAACAAGTCTAAGAAATTAAACAACGCTAATATAATAAAAATACTCTACGATTAAGTTATAACAATGTGGCAAATAGTAAGCGAACAAAGAAAAATACCTAAAAAAACCAGACAAAACATTACACTAAACAGAAAATCAAAAATAAATGACCCTTATTCCATCGCTTGTGTACAAACTGTGATAATAGAAACAATCAGTCGCAGACACCGCCACAGTTTAATTCTTTACAAAACTTCTATATAATATATAAAATATTATATTCAATATTATAAAAAAACCCTAAAAATAAGGCAAGCTTCGGAATTGACGAATTGCCCCCAAATTTAATAAAACAGTGCGCTGAATTACTTACGTTACCCTATGTAATGCTAATCAATCAACCCTTTATGGAGGGTGTATTACCTAATGCATTAAAACTTTCAATTGTGAAACCAATTTATAAAAAAGGAGACAAAAATGACCCCAATAATAACCATCCAATTGCATTGTTACCAACATCCGCAAAAATATTTGAAAGTATAATGTCAAAAAATTATATTCAGTCTGAGAAAAATACAACCTTTTAGTAATACCCAATATGGCTTCAGAAAAAACCGTTTAACGGAACTAGCCGTTTATAAATTTGTTCAAAACATCTTTGACATCATAAACAATAAAAAATACGCAATTGGAATTCTATTATACATGAGTAAAACCTATGATAGAATTTCATTTAAAATGGTTTAAATCTTATCTACAAAATAGGGAACAGTATGTCGAAATTGAAAGCGTTAATAATGAAACCGGGAAAATTAAAAAAATCAGATCAAGTAAAGTACAAATTAAAAACTCCATACCACAAGGCAGTGTTCTGTGATGTGTATTGTTCCTTAATTGGTTAGTTCATATGTATTGTTCCTGATATACATAAACAGACCATTGTGTTATTTTTCACAGAAAAAAAGGATTTCTACTAATAAGAAAGAGCAATTTCTCAAA